GAGCATAGCACCCAGAAACTAAAAGATCTCATTAAACATTTTGCTTCGACAGACAATTACAAGCTTTTTTGTGGTTTTTCATTTGTTTTTCTTAAATACATGAAAATGAAACAATAAAGAATACGTTTTTTTAATGAAGTTTTAAAAAATCCTGTAAACGTGTTGTAGAATAATCGCCTGAACTTTCAAAGTAAGAGTACGTTAAAATGCTTAAAAAAGAATAAAGTCTCGTGTGGGAGACACGTGGAGCTCGAGTTCTTCGTTAGCTCAAAATCATCCTTGATTTTATTCAGCTGAGTTTAAATAATGACTTTGATACTGACAGCGTCGGGCTGCTGTGTGAATGTAACAGTAACAGAATCATGTTTAAGCAGCTTTCATTCAGCTGTCCACATGTTGGTCAGATATTTACGATATTTGTGGTTTTTGTTTGTGGTTTTGGAAGGATGAGGACCTGATGGACTCTGATCAGAACCTGTACAGGTATAAATCTGCTCTGGACTCGTGCGTTCTGTGTTTATTGGGCGGCGCCCTGCATTAATTCTTGCAACGGGCCTGCGCATGTTTAAACGTGACATGCCCACAGTGAACTTCTAGGAAATGTGATGCTGTTTTGTTTCAGTGAACTGCACTTCTCTGGAAACAGTTTTTACATGTTCCTCTGTCATCCAACCAGCTCGACCGACGAAGGACAGGATGTAACAGCTGTAACTTGATGCATGCATGAAAAATGTGAAGTAATGAAAGGTTGACTCCACGTGTGACGTGTGAGTCAACCTTTTTCTGGAGAGAAAGTGATTTTTCTCTCCAGTCTGTTAAGGCAGAGTTTCAGACACACACACACACACACACCAGGAAAGACCTGCTCACATTCCTGCTCCAGCCTGAGTCACACCAGACTCAACGACTCGTGAACTCCTGGGATCTTTTTGGATTTCATTTTTTGGGTATTTGCAGGAAGTGCTCACTCATTTTTAGAGATTTAAGCTGCTGCTGTTTGGATCACCGGGAGGAACAGACTTTATTCAGCAACATGTTTTTATCGGAGCTTTTATCTCTGAGCCTCTTCCCTCTGACGGTGTCTGCGGTAACAGCAGGACATGAAAACGGTAAGAAATCATCAGTAACTGTGATCACAGCGTCTCCCTGAGAGTTTGTTCTGAACAGAGCTTCGCAGCAACTGTTCAAACTCACCTGCAGTCAAAGACACAAGCCTTCCTGCCTTTTTGTTACGGTATAAATATTTTTGTCTGTTTTATATTCCACTTTTAAAATTCAATTTTATTCAATTCAATAAAAGGTCAGATGAACAGAATCAAATTTTCGGATTTACTTACCTGAATAATTGCATTAAAACATCCAGTGAGCTGCAGTTCTCTGGGTGAAATGCTTTCATAATGTCAGAGAAGAATGGCGAGGAAGGCAACTCTAATAACCTCTCGTTACAAGCAAAGTGGTTACTCTCGTTACAAGAGCATCTCTGAACACACTTTGGACCTTGTAGATGGGCTGCAGCAGCAGAAGAGCACACTGGGGCCGCTGTCAGCAAAGAACAGGAAACTGAGGCTAAACTGAGCAAACAGCAGAATAGAAAAATGTTGCCTGGTGTGATGAGACTTTATTTCTGCTGCCATGTTTAGATGGCGGGTCAGAATATGGAGTAGATAAAAGGAAGCATGGCTTCATCCTTCCTGTTATCGTTCTAGTTGCTGGTGGTGTGGGCCTCTGTACCAGCGTCATTACAACTCCACGCTGCCTACCTGAGTTTTGACTACAGTGCACCATCTCCTGATGGCTGCTTCCAACAGGACAGCACTTAACGCTTAAAGAAGCTTAAACCATCTCCAACTGGTTTCTCCAACATGACGATAAGATCAGTGTACTCGAATGACCTGAGGTTTAAACTGTGATTCATTCTTTAGGAACCGTCATGGTGGTGGCATCTGAAGGAAGTTACATCATCTTGCCGTGCTCGCTCAGCTCCCAGGAGAGCCTCGTACAAACGCGCTTTGATTGGAGGAAAAACGAC